TGGATTGGATGTTGGTTTTGGTGCTGCTTCTGACGAAGGTGCTGGCTTGGGGGTCGGGGCCGGGGCCGGGGACGGCGTCGGCGTCGGGATTTGCGAAGAAGTTGGCGGAGTCACTGGTTTAGGTGAAGATGAAGCCGGTTTGGGAGACGAGCTTGACTTGCAATGATCCGTAGACCATGAAAAGTAGGCTGCGTTGTTGTTCGCTGGCCACAGTGTCAGTAGCAACGCTGGCTTCAGGTGTTGGTTTATCGTACCTGAATTATAGCAGCTTGAGTACGGCGTGTCACCAATACAATTAGCGAATTTTGACGCATAGCCGCCCAGTGTAGAACAGACGCATGCATCCCCGGTCCACGTAATTCCCACGTCTGGTGTTTGACAGCTTCCTGCGGCCTTGGTCCTACATGTACTAACTCGGGTACTGTAGTCTGGCAATTTTGCTTGCTCCTACAAGTGCGTAAGCTTCGAAAGCTGTGACGAACATCGGATATGTCATACTGAGCAAGCCAAGAGCTGTCTTCTCTCCTGCTTAGGCCGCCTGAAAAAAGGATGCCTTTCAATGAATCTGACAAGAGACGACCCCGAATTAACCCCAGCCATTGTAGCGAATGTGATCGACTTTTCAGACGGACGCTTGATGACACTGACTTGGATTCTGGTCGTGCCTTTATTCGGTGCGCAGCAGCAACGACGCAAGGCTTGCGGGGTGTTGATAGATGATGCTGTGCTTTCTTGAACGTATTGAATCTCTCTCTGCTGGAAGTATGCGTGATTTATTCGGTCTGCGAGGTTCGTTGACCAAGTTATCCTCAAGCGCTCAGATCGATGTCACAAGGCTGCCTTACTCCATCCAAAATCCTAGGTTCCACTACGCATTCTAAATAGCTCACGCGACGGCCGGACATACTTGAGCCTCATCGGTCGCAAGTTGCCTAGACCCTAAGCGCCATCCATTGGTGGCGGGAGGCTGGCAAGTTGTAGTTCGTGCGTCGCTCGAAAGGGAAACCCTGTTATCAGCTCCTCGCAAAAACACGAGCGAGTCCTTCCAAAATGGCCGAAAGTGATGTGTGGCGTTTTACACCGGTTCGCGTGCCGTGCGGTCGATCATCGATCGTTCGCGGTGGAAGATGCTCGGCATGTTTGAGATAGCTAGGAGGAATAGCTGGGATTGTCTAGGTGTAATCAGATCGTCAAATTTTGTTTCGTACATTGCCCTGATTGCGTGACCTCAAATATTGTTACCAAGTTAATGTTTCTTGCGCTGCTGTCGGTCCTTTTGTCGGTGACTGGCTTTCGCGAACGGACGGACATGGGTGCTCCTGAGTTTGAACGATGGTCGGGCTTTATTCGCTAAGCGCCAACGCGCATTGGACGCCACTGGAATGGGCTTCTCAGCTGTAAGGCCAGACAATGGGGACGGTAACTGCCTTTGAAGCCAGATGTAAGTAACCAATGTCAAAGTAGTTCAGTACATAATCGCACAATCGCAGTTCTGTAGCTTCAATCAGGCTTCCTTTGCGGACTATGTGAACCTCTCACGATGACCATAAGGAGCGTGCAGTACTCCAAACTCGCATACCAACCCCGTAGCTACAAATCCTCGTCATTAATCCTCTCCTCATCGCTCTCGTCATCCTCGTCTTCCACTCCTGCGGTGAGGTGCTTAGTTCTCTTTTCGAACACGTCGCGCTCAAGCTCTCGAAGCCTGCGGAGACGCTTTCGAAACGGATTGGTGATTGCGTCATCTTTGATGTACACCCAGAAATGATGCGCAAGATAGCTAGATATCCAGTCTCGCATCGCATCGTGCGCCGGTAACCTTGCGCCAGACGACCCGTAGACCAGAATGGCAAGAGTCAAGACATCTTCGTTATCCCATTCAATGTATTTCACCTTCTCAGCGATATGCTCCAGCATATCGCCCATGGTGAGCTTTTCGGCACTTTCCCATGCCGATACGCACTGTGCAACAGCCTCCTTGGCTTGCTCTTTGTCGTCTGGAAAGCGAATGCCGAACTCGCCCACTGTAAGATACTCGGCTACGAATTGGAAGTCTACGACGTCGATTTCCGCAAGGCCCGGATGTCGAAGCTCGTACGTATTCTCTTCGTTTAGTATGAAGTGGTTCAAGCCACCCCTTGAATCCTTGAAGTACGGTCGGTCCCACACGTCTTTCTTCTGAAGGGTGAGGACGTCAAGGTTTTGGCCAACGCGGAGCTGTACAAAGTCTCGACTTTCACACCTATTTCAAATTAGCGGCTGTGAAGCCCAAGGAGGTTTTTCATCTTACAAGTCGCCTTCAACCACGTCACTCGTGGGTCCATTGGATCTCTGTCCGAGAGAACCCCATCCGTTCAGTACGTCCTGTATAGCAGATCGTCCATTCTGAGTCTGCCGAATGTTCGATCTTTTGGGTACTGGCACGTACGAGCTTTCGTTAGAAGAGAATAGGGAAGTTCTGCCATCCGATAGCGACAGCAGATTTCGATCGGGTGAAACCGTGCCAGCGTCCTGCATCCTTGACGGACGAGAACGCTTAGGTGATGGTTGGCCCATCGCTTCCATTCCCGGCTCCTCATACAGTTCCATGTCACTCTCATTATCGAGCGTGACAGATGAACTCCTTCGGTCAGAGCGCTTCCGAGTTGGGGGCGACGGTGCAGGTCGAATTGACGTGGATGGTCTGTAGTATTGTTCGTGAGATATACGAAGTGCCTCTTTAAGCTCGTCATCTAGCTCTTCCTCAGTACCAACCGGGTCTGAGTCACGAACCGGGTCTGCGTTATTTGTGAAGTGCTCGTCAACCACGGTCTGCCAATAGCTTAGCCCGAGCTGAGTAGCTCGCATGAACTCGGCAGCTTCGTATGCCTGCCGGAGATCTCTTGATCTTATCGTGAGGGCTCTCTCCTCAGCAGGGACGTATGACGACAATTGGCACGTTGTAGCCCACCGACTACGGCGATCAGACATAGGACATGCTCATGGACGACATACTTACAATCTGTAGGGCTCGCCGAGAAGCAGCACAAGGGTAACGTATCCAGATGGCCGACTGCTTTGGACATCCTGAGGTGCATACTCGTCTACGTACACCATGGCTGGCCACGGTGATGTTACTGAGTCTAGGTCGCTGTACAGGACATACGTGCCTGGTTGCGTCAATGCCATGTTGAAGCGGCGTCTTGTGGTTAGCTGACGGTGTCCCTGGAAGCCGGTCAATGGTGTCTTGAAGAGATGACAGTAGTCTCTGCGACTAGACACTCTGGAGAAGCTTTACGAGTTGCGCAGGCTTCTCAACTGGCAGCTGGAAAGGTTATGGAGCTCCTCACCCATGAAGCCAGTGAGTTGCGAAGTAGCTGACTCTGTGTCGAAGAGAGGTTAGGTGTAGAACAGTGAGATAAAAACAAGAGATTCGTTGGAGTCTCTGAGATCAAAACGGGTCAAAATTGGCCTTGTAATAGCCACGAGACCAAGAAGGAGTGTGCCTCGAGGTAAAGGCATGTTGGCCGGCAAACGCAAGCTCATCTCACTTGCTGGCCAGTGTTCCAGCGCATTTCATGATCAGGCCTACGATATATCGCGATGGATGCAGCAACTTGGCGCTGGGACAGATTATCAAGTCGATAGAAATGTCGTGGTAGTGGGCGACGCAGTGATGAATGCGGAGTTCAGCTCGGGGGATTACATAATCCTGGAGCGGGAGTCGCGTCGACGAATCGAAGGACATCTGGCATCAAGCTCACCACAGCTTCAAGACACGCAGCACCCACGAATTGTCTACCGCCGGCTGCGCAGCCAGCATCGCAACTATACTCCTGCGACCTCGGAGTGCTCAGGGAGCTTGACGATCGCGCTATTACCACGAATCTTGACCTTCTGCCAACCCTCGACATCCTCACGTCAAAGACCCTCACAACCGCAGCCATGCTCGGCCTCTCAGCAATGCAACCACGGCAATTAGCCGCCCAGGTCCTCAACTTTGCCCTCGTCCTCTCTACCGCTTTCATGCTCTGGAAAGGGCTCTCAGTCGTCAGCGACTCACCTTCACCCATCGTGGTCGTGCTTTCAGGGTCTATGGAGCCGGCATTCCAAAGAGGAGATCTATTATTCCTATGGAATCGGGGAATGGATACACAAGTGGGCGAGATTGTGGTCTACAATGTCAAAGGCAAAGACATCCCGATTGTGCATCGGGTGGTGAGGAGATATGGTGGAAAGTAAGTCTACCTTTACCTTGCTTTTCGCGCCGGGTCCCGACCGCATGGTCTTGCGTTTTCATGTAGAAGCAAGCGCGCAGAGCATGCGAGTAATGGGCGAGAAAACAGCATACAGAACATGTCGCTAATTAACCGCGCAGCAAGACACCGCTCAAGCTACTCACAAAGGGCGACAACAACCTCGCAGACGACACCGAGCTCTATGCCACGGGACAGTCCTTCCTGAACCGCAAAGAGGACGTTATCGGAAGCGTAGTCGGTTTCATCCCCTTTGTCGGATATGTCACCATCCTGTTGAGCGAGCACCCGTGGTTGAAGCAAGTGATGCTGGGGATAATGGGGTTGATGGTGGTCTTGCAAAGAGAATAAGCGCAAGTCTGGATGATGTGGATGCGCATAGAGGAACATGGGGTGCAATAGAATGGTTGACATGACTTTGTACATTTCACCATGCAGCCTCACCCTATTCTGCGTCACAATTTCTGCAGACTACACGTTTCAGAAAGCCCAGGCTGGCGTCATTTCAAATATGCTGTGACGTACTTCAGAGGCGACAAAGAGATATATACCCCATCATTTCCATATAGGCCCCTGTTCATGACAACTTCCCAACCTTCCGTCCGTCTGAAAGCATGGCCACCACAAAGATACAAGCCCTACTATCACTTAAATCTCCCTCACTGCGGGTATGGCTCCCAAACATCATCCGTTATATTGGACACGTGACTCACTTCCGCGAGTACCCAACAAGCATCTTCATTCTCGCAAAAGCAAAAAACATCATGCGACCTGGGAGGTTCGAACTCCCGACCCCCGCCTCTTCCCTGCGAACAGGTTGGGAAGGCGATACCCTAACCACTGGGCTAAGATCGCTTTGCTTGTGCAGATGGCCAGGTCCATGAATAAGTAGCATATATACACCAACGAGCACTGTGCAATACCATGGACAAGTTAGTGATACGTTTTGCCCCCAAATATGTAGATTTTCTCGTGTGCATAGCGGTGTCATGAGACTTGTGGCGCCATGGAAGTTTCCAGCGGGAGGGTGCGTTTGTGGCTGCGACTTCCCGGTGGCGGTGAGGTGGACTGATGGCTTTTCGGCGGACCGTGGGGTGATGGACGAGGACATGGTAATTGGCGAGGCGTACACGACAAGCTTGACTCAAGCGTAGTAATCTATATCACGCATCCTGTTATACTACATCAGATAAGATATGAAGACATGGGACAACTACGTGGGCGTGGTCGTGTTAGTCAAGGATACGAAATACGACGGCCATATCCAGCCCTACGCTGGCGCCGTGACCTCACGTCAAAGCGCAGGACAAGCATTGATAGCAAAGCATTTTCATACCGCAAACTAGTGTACATAGACTTGGGTCATGAGCCTCGTGATGTCTTTTAGCGTAAGAGAAAGGACGCCAAACATCATGAAGTAGAAGCCATGTCCGCCGTCGGTTGCGTGAGCTGGACTGCGGCCGCCCGCTTCTATATGGAGAAGCACAGATTCACCCAACCTGCTCGCCGCATTGAGCCCATTAGGTAGCGAGGTAACAAAGGAAAATGGATCCGCCGACAGGCTACGCTGCCTGTTCACACCGTGACCGCGGAAGCTGATAAAAGATCGAAAAGACAGAAGATGGGGACCTGTCTACTCGGACTCTTCTTCTTCTTCCTCACCGGCCTTCTTGCTAGTTAGTACGACTGTAGGCACGATATGACGCAGATGTACATACTTGGTAAGCGGCCTTCTCCTCCTCGTAACGCTTCTTATCGGTAGCAGCCTTGGCCTCGTAAGGAGTGCGCTGCTTCTCGGACAGAGCCTTCCACTTCTCGCCGAGGAGCTTTCCGACCTCACCTAACCGATATTAGCCACGGATGCACGTGATAGACAATGAGAAGCAGCTTACCGAACTTGATGCCGGGGTTGTCCTCGCGGACCTTGTCGCGCTGTTCGTTGGCGAAGAACATGTAGGCGGACAGACCACGCTTGGGCGCGTTGGGGTCTATCAGTCGTCAGATTGATCGCAATGCAAGGCGGCACATGAGCAACTCACCCTTCTTCTTCTTGCCGCTGTCGGCCTTGGTGGCCTTGCCCTTGCCGCGGGTTACCTTCTCCTTAGGCATGATGTGTTGTGTTGACTGCACGTCGAGATGATTAGCAGCTGGGCCGGTTTTGGACGTTTTGGACAAAATGAGGGAGTAGAGGAGTAGCAAATAAACAAGACATGCGCAAGATATGGCGCGGACTGTATAGTACTTGTGGGCGGTGTGGATGTTTTTGGTCGGGCTGTGTGAGTGATAGGCTGCACTGCGTCTTGCTGTGCGCGCCCAAGGGACGCGGGTCGCAAAACACCACGATGCGACGCGATTGCACGCGATTTTGCAATGAGAGAAGCTGCAAGAACTTACAAAAGCTGCGGAAACCGAAGAAAATTCAGTGGTTGATAGTGGTCTATTTTGCGGTCAGTATGCGCCCTACAGCAGTTGAAGGCGACGTGATGAACATGAATTGGAACGCGACGACGCTCGAAAGTTGCAGAAATGGAGGTGTGGAACGACCTCAACTTGCAAATCGAAGCGGGAAAAAGCGTACAAAAGGGTGTGGTGGTGTAGATTATTGCTGCGCGGTTTCGCGAACTTGGTGATATGAGCCGAGGACTTACCAAACGAAAATCTGGGTTGTATGTGTTTTTTGGTGAGAGCGTGAGTTGGGTGTGAGCAGCGCAGCGCAGCAGAGGTGGCAGGCGCGAGAGACCCCATAACAAAGCGGAGGGCGGAGACGGTCACGTGCTGCCCTAGTCGCGCCTGCTTGTTTTGCCCGTCCACTTGCTCCCGGAACAGCAAAGCCCCTCCTTTTCGAACGAGGGCTGCCTCCCTTGATATTCATCACAAGCGCCGTGCATGCAGTTGCGCCTGCCGCTCTGCACATGTTGCGCGAAGCGGTGCGGCATTCTGCCCATCGTAGGATGCTTGTGGTTGCGCGAGGTTCTATCCTCTCCAGCACCCACTTCCGAAGCAGAGGGCGCATCATGGACGCGAGGTGCTGCTTGACGCCTTCATTTTTGTCTGGCCCGTTTCATGTAGTTAGATTGCACGCAGGAGAGACGGCTACACCATTCGCTGGATATGCAGAGGTCGGCTGTTCCGACGTTATCTTAATACCGCGTCTGGCTGGCTGATGTTGCGCTCCCAGCAGTAGCCCGCCGGTTACGCACCACGCAGCGGGAGGGGGTCTGCAAGGCCCCGTCTCGATGTTCGAGAAGCTGCCCGGTCCATCATCCGGACGTCAGCCTATGGCGTCTTTGCAGTCACCCTCTCAGACGGGCTTCCATGCTTCTCCAGGACCGTGCGAGTCTTGCACCGGAGCGGTCAACAAGCCTGCTTCCGGCACCCAGCTGTGTGCTCAACAACCAACCCGTATCTGGCAGAGACTACATGGCTCATGCAAGGTGGTTGCAAGGCTATCAGCTTGATGCTAGCAGAGAGGATCGTGTCGCAAATCTGCATGTTGAAAGTGCGACTGATATTTTGATATCCTCCTAACTGATGTTGGCTGGTGCTGCTGCCCGCACGGCGCTCACGGCATCACCGAGACGTGAGCGCCATTTGCGACGTGCCCAGCACGCTCAATGGCGTCACAACAGCTGTCGAGCATTATCATTTTCCGGACAGCAACAAAAATGCCTCGCGACTCTGTACTATCTCAATCATCAGACGTTGATGTCCAGGACCTCGAATACGCAGACAGCATACTGGGTCGGGATTATAAATGCGCCGAGGACCATCGCGCAGCCAACCTGCGTGACGTAATCACAACAAACCCGCCACGACAAGCGCGCTCGACTGGTTGCGACTGTTTCACAGTCGACTTGACATCTCTCGCTATGTCACGCTTCTCAAGAGAATGCAAAGCCGTGACTTGTGTTTAGACTCGCCGGAAAAGGCGCTGGCGGCTGAACGCGTATGAACGCAAGACAGTCCCTTTCATGGACCGTGAAATCGGTCAAAGGCTTGCTGCAAGGCTACATCTGCCCAACTCAACATAGAATGCGTGGTTGTGGAGAAGAGACGACTTGTCACAGATCAAGCTGGCACAAGAGTGCTGTGGGTGGGACTTAAATGCACGGCGCGAGAGTTTTTATCCATCACTTGCAGCTGCTGCATCAACTACATGTGGTACAGGGTGAAAAACCTCATCTCACACTTCAAATCAATCTGTTCTAGTTGAAGCACGTCCATTCGTTCTCTTGACCAAGCTCCCCAATGTTCAAACAACGAACTTCAATTTCACCCACTCCTAGTTCAAGCCGGCACACACGTTGGCCTCCGAACATGCTTATCAGGCTTTTGTCACGCCATGAATTGCACCACCCCATCTTCCCAGCTCCGATCTTGAGCACTAGTCATCGCGCTGCTGGCAACTTTCCGTATGTAATTGCGCTAAATGCTCATGGCACAGTAGACGTGCGGTGACCATTTCGGTGCCAAGGAGTGGTTGACTTCAATCTTGCAAAATGAGCCCTGAACAGAAGAGTGGTGGCTCATCCGTCTTCTTCGTCGTCCAGGACAAGCTCGGTCAAATCCTGGTCGGCGGCCCAATTCATCCCGCTTCCAACAATCATGGCCGAGAGTACGCCTTTCAATGTTTTCATCCTCCTTCTTGACTCCTTGAGCTCTTTTTCGACTGCGCTCACTTGGTCGCGCAACTTGGGATCTTCGATATCCTTGGCGGATTGTGCTTTCATCTCTTCTGCTAGCGCGAGCATTGTTTGCGACAATTCTTTGTTCTTGCGATTAGCGACAATGTTCGCTTGCTGCGCTGCACTGATCGCCTGTTGGATGGACGTGACTTGGGCCGCTAGCGAGCCATGTACCATTGACACAGTATCGTTTTCAGTGATCAAAGGGAGTATGCGCCTATTGTCGTCAGGATGGCACTGTAAACACGAAAGGTTCAGCATACTTTTCGGCATATCCAGTGCGCTCGCCGCCGTGAACAGCTTTTAGGACTGGGTCCATGACAAGCACGTTGTGTGTGATCCTGTTGCGGAGCTCATAGTCTGCCTTTGCTTCCATGGCCTCGCGCTGGGCGACGGTCAGCTGCTCTTGCAGGGCATCATCTGAGAGTTCCGAAACATCAACCACGTGTGCTGCAAACTGTCAGCAACTGATAACATCAAGCCACGCGGTTTGAATGTACTTGTTTGCTGGGCCTGCAGCAGGCTTTGCTGTAATTCTAGTTCGCGCAATTGATCGTACAGCCCCAGTGCTAGCTGCTCGGTCTCGGTAAACGCGAACGCGTCGTGGTGGTTTGTTTGGAGCAGGTCCGCGTAATCGCCCGGGTCGTGTTCCTTGGTGGCCGCGTCAAACATCTCGACATCACTCTTGGTCGCCATGTTGACCGCACCCAACCCAAGATGGTCTGATGATGCAATCAATTCAGTGATGCGGATGACCGTTCACTGTGATGCAGCCTAGCGGGACCCAGGCGGGTGATCCCTGCAGGGCGATCAATGCGGCTTGGCGGGACTTATGAACCCAGCTCACATGCATCGGCGCTCAAGACGTCCCAAACCTCACCCCAAGAGTCTCAACACTCGTCCGAGCTGCGGGAGGGCACGTCTGGATGTCGCTGCAGATTGCTGTGGCTCACACGGGCCAGCGCCTCGACGCTGATCCAGTGGCATTCAGCTCCGTCGATGCTCTCAAGCACTGGATCGCGCGGGCTTGTGACATTGCTCCCGAGTCCCAAATACTGCTGACGCCCGGCGGCAAACATGTCAAGCTTCAGGCGCTACTCACCGAGGTATGTAGCGCTCTGAGACATCGTCATATCTCACTAATCCCATGTTCTGTAGAAAGAGATCTTT